TTTTTTCCTGGAGTTTTGTTCTGTTCTTTCATTTGGGACCTGTTTCTTTGTGAGTCTTGATTGCTTTTGGCACGTCAATGGGGGTTCTACTCAGGCTGATCAGCTGCAAGGACTGGCTGCGCCCACTGACCTCTGACTCCCTTGGATGATCAGCTCTTCAGGGGCCCACCACATAGAGCAAGACTTACTTCAGCAGGGCTCTGGTACCCACTGAGTTTATTCCTTGTGGAGGTGGTGGGATGGTGGTGCTTCAAAGTGGTCTGAAGTTGTCTGCTGGGTGTGCTGGCTCTGGGGCAAGGTCAGCCACTGCCTGTGTTCTATCGGGGCCACCGGGCATAAACTACAAAGTAGTCTGCCAATGGCTGCTTCTTGTGCTGGTCTTGGAGGTGCTCAGGCGACGCCAAGCTGTGAACCAAGGCTGGCTGCTTCTAGTGCCAGGCCTGGGGTCACTTGGAGAGAGGTTTGGGGCTCCCTGTGGCCAGATGCTGCTTGTTTGAGAGATTTTAGGAAAATCTGAAGCAGGATCCAAGACAGGCCAATCCTATGGTAAAGCTACTGAAAACAGCTTGGGTGGGCCTGAAAGTTGGGTGGGGCGGGGCCTCAGGGAATCATTAGGGCGGGGCAAACAGTTTGAGCCAGGTTGCTGGAATCCCATATATGGTGTCTGTCTGCTGGCCTTGTGGGGGAGGGGCTCACCAAAGGAACAACAGCCTCCACCAGCCGGTCTGTCCCCACCAGCACTTCTGTCTGGAAGAGAGCTGCCTCTCCAGTCCTCATCCAGAGGCCAACCAACTCATTTCTTCCTTGTATGTCTCTGGTACCTTTCAAGCTGCCTCCCCTCCAAGCTTAGAAGGAGCAAGTCTGAGTAAGTTTGTGTGTGGGCCCTTTAAGAGTAGCTACTGGGTCTCCAGCAGCCTCAGCCTCCCTCAGCCTCAGTTTCTGCTGGTTTTACAGCCTGACGTGATGGGGATTCTCTTCCTGGCGCTGGAACCCTGAGCAGGGCGCCTGGTGTGGGAGGGGGACCCCTCACACCTCAGGGAGACCCTTCCCAGCCAGGTGTCCTGATTTTTACCCACCACACTTGGGTGCGGGACCAGCCCGTCCGCCTCCGCCCCTCCTACCAGTCTCCATGTGGCTGCTGCTTTAATTCCGTAGTCGTAGGACTTCCACTCTGCCTGAAGTCAGGACGCTCAGAAGGATGTTTGTTCTGTGGTTTAGTTCATTCTGGTGTGGCTGTGGGAGGAGGGAGGCTGCAGTTACCTTCCCGCATCTTGACCGGAAGTCTTACAGCTGCCTTTTTCTAATTGTGCGTGCAAAAGATTGGTTTAGAAGCATCAAAGGATCCTCACTTCGGCCATCCTAGGTAAAATGGGAGGCTGACTGTGGTGGGTCTTGCTGGCCTCAGAGGTGGGGTTTCCCATGTGAAATTTGAGGTCCTGTAGAGTCTGAACAAACTGCTGGGGAAAAACAGCCTTCACGGGCGTGGCTCAGGTGACCGGAGCTGTGAGTGTCCCTGTAGGGCCACTTTACACCCTAGAGGACTTCTTCTCGGGCAGCTCCATAGATTCTCAGCCACCTAGGACTCCAGAGCAAAAGCCAGTGAGCTGACCCCGTGGCACTGGGACCTCAACCCTTCCCCGCACAGGCCCTCTCTCGGGCCCCTCTCTCAGGGTGACCCATCCATTCCAGGTGCCCTCTACAGGACTCTTCACTAATTACTTATTTCACTAATTACTGATTTTAGATGCATGTGGTTACAAAAGACAGTTAATGCCAGCATTCCTGCCCTGAACGTCCTTGGTCCTGCAGTTGGCTCACCTCCCAGCATCAGGGAGCGTCCCTTGTTTTAGATGATGGCTTAGATCCAGAGAATCTGTTGTTTGAGGCCGCTGATTTGGGCAAATTTGATACGATCTAGTTTCTAGCAATCCCAAATATGGCCAGTTTGTACTGTCATTCATGGTCACTTGTTTCGGTTTGCTCTTTTGTGACTGTCCTGCCTCCCTCCTCCTCAGACACATACACATTGTCCCACCTTGAGGACACTGTGTCTGTTCTTTCTTTGTAAATTCTCCTGGCTTTCATGTGCTTGGGGTTTTTTCATTAGAGAGGTCATCTCACTCCCATCTTATTTGGAACACTAAGGGACACATATTGACACAAGATACATTCACATGGCAACAAGAGATTGGCAGTAGGAAATCTGGAAAAGTTTTAGTCTCAGCTAAAATAAGAGGAATCGGGCTGCTTTGGAAGAGTTTGGAGACTAAGCTCTTGAAGTTAGATTAGAAGCAGCTTTAGCTGGGGACGCAGGGGTGGGGAGGAACAAAGCTAGTGGATTGACTAGTCCTGACTTTGGGCCAAACTGGGAAAGGGAAGAACTGTCGTAGTCTCTGTATGCATATAATTGTTTTTTCTCTAAACATAACATTGATTCAGAGTCTTGGGCCTAAAATTATTCACACACACACACACACACACACACACCCCAAGATTCTTATGTGTAGCCAGGTTAGAGAACCATGGAGGATTACTGGTATAGTCAAATGGGAACTGAAATGCTTATTAGTGACCACAAAGAAACAATTATCTGTCTTCATTGATGAACAAATGAATGTTTAGAGCAGGGATCATCACTCTCAAAGTAACGATTCTTATATTAGCAATTAAATAATCTGTACTGAAAATAATCTAAGCCCTGGCCAGGTTGCTCAGTTGGTTGGTGCATCATCTGCTCTCCATAATGGTTGCAGGTTTGATTCGTGGGCAGGGCACACACAGGAGGCAACTGATCGATTTCGCTCTTTCTCCCTACCTCTCTCTCTAAAAATCAATAAAAACACATCCTCAGTTGAGGATTTAAAAAATAATCATCATGTAAGTTGTCAATACAGTGGAAGACTAATATACCATAACCAAGTGGGGCAAATGCATAGTGAAAAGATGATTCATATTGGGAAATTTACTAATATGCTTTATTGTATCACTGAATCTCAACCAGATCAGACCCAGTGTCCCTCCACTTAAGGAACTCTTTTATACTCTCTTTGGTAATCCAGAAATGAAATGCATAGATAATATAATCTTTATATACACATCATTTAAAATAACATATCTATGACATCCTAACACTGTGTGTGTGTGTGTGTCCAGCCTTCAATGTGTGCTCTCTTGAATGACTTTCAGGGAATTGAAAAGTAGGTCTGCAGGGTGTTTTAATGGGGCTCCCACAAATCATGTCAGAAAGATCATTTACAGGTGATTTGGGAACAGTTTGTTTGCCACAATATCTAGGTAGATGTTTGTTTGGTTTGTCATCATACTTCCTAAGAAATTGCAGATGCATAAAAATTAGATGCAGATATATATATATATTTTTTTTAAATATGTTTTTATTGATTTTTTTAGAGAGGAAAGGAGAGAGAGAGAAACATCGATGTGAGAGAGAAACTGACCAGCTGCTTCCTGCACACCCCCCCCACTGGGGATTGAGCCTGAAACCTGGACATGTGCCCTGACTGGGAATCGAACAAAGACCTCTCAGTCCATGGGACGACACCTAGTCCACTGGGCCACACTTGCTGGGCCAGATATATATGTATTTTTTAAAGGTTTAAAGAAAAAATAGATTTCTGGAAAGGTGGGGATTAAATCTTTAAAAAGAATGGAGGAAATCACAAAGGAGGCCAATGCAAGTAACTGAAACTGAAAATTTAAATAGGTCCAAATAAAGTGATCAAAAACAGATATTACACACACACACACACACACCCCAAATTGGGAACTCTTGATTTAAGAATGTTACCTTGCTGGGGACAATCACATGCACGTGGATAATACTGCATGCATTCCAAAATGGAAACCGTATTTTCACCTTAAAGGGGAAAATATTTTCACACGACAGAAGTGAACCTAGAAAGGTCATCTGGACTGCAGTATTCTGTTTGAGGCCCTTAGTAATATTGGGGATTCCTGTCATCCCATTCTGTTTGTTTCTTTTTTTTCCAGTCTTTGCCCGAGGATATGCTTTCACTGATTTCAGAGAGGGAGAAGGGAGAGAGAAAGAAAGAAGCATCAATTGGTTGCCTCCCGTCCATGCCCGACCAAGGATGGAACCCACAACCTAGACATGTGCCCCTCCAGTGCACAGGATGATGCTCCAGCCAAGTGAGCCACACCAGCCAGGGCTTCTGTCATTCTTGATAATAAATATAGTAATCAAGGAAAATAGTTGTTTGGGGGGGGGAACCCTCAGATTAGCTTGAATTATCAAAAATAATTTATCCCTATTGAATGCTTCTTACCATTTTCTTTTCCTTTCTTACAAGAATTCATGACACGTATTCTAACACATACACCCTCTCACAGTTTTGATGCTTTTCTGCACTTGCAGTTATAAATAAGGATGGAAGCGGTAACAGTGTGACTGGAATGGAAACACGTGCGCTGACCCTGCCCTCCGCGCCGGCGCCCGTCCTGGCTGTTAGGGAAAGCGCAGCCTCACTTGACCCGTTAGTGACCTCTCGCTTTCTCGGCATCTGTTCACCCAGTTTCCAAACTTTTCAGGTCTTTGATTTTGTGCTGCCTCCTGCCTGCTGCTTTGGCTGGTCACTGCTAATTAACACCTGTCTCACGGAGTAGGCAGGAGAAATTAAAGGCCCTGGAATTCAACTGGTCTTATTTGTGCTTTGATAGCATCTCTAATGAAAAGTTCAATGGGGCCGATGGAAATCTTGGCATCAAATGAAGTTGGGGGTGATCTGTGGGGCTCGTTATGTGTGATGCTCCTGTTTTCCATAATTGACGTTGGCTGTATTGACATTGGAAAATAGAATGGAAGGGAGCACCAGGCTGGTAATTAAGGAACTTCATTTTCCTCTTAACTATTCACTTGGCTAGTCTGATCTACTCTTGATTTTTGTGAGTGTGATGTCCCAGTTGGATTGGATGATCTCCCAGACCTCTTACAGTTCTGTGTTCTGTGGTCCCCGCCCCCCAAGGTCATGAAACGAGTGCGCACCGAGCAGATTCAGATGGCAGTGTCCTGTTACCTCAAACGCCGGCAATACGTGGACTCGGACGGTCCCCTGAAGCAAGGACTGCGGCTGTCCCAGACTGCTGAGGAGATGGCGGCCAACCTCACAGGTAGGCGTGGGGACTGCTGCCGGGCGAGCTGGAGCCAAGAGCGCGTGTCAGGGTCCCTGAGCCACGACTTTCTCCTGGGGGTGGCCCCAGAGAGGGCGCACTATCCAGCAGCCTCCGTGGGCAGAACCAAGGGATGGGCACGGGCCTCCGAGATGCTGTCTGTCCTTCGAAGCCATGCTCAAATGCCACTTCTAAAAACCTCCTGTCGTAATCTGCCCTTCCTCCGAATGCTGACTGATTTTGTCTGTACCTGATGTTATGTGCAATGTTTCCCTCCGTAACTGTTATCCTGTGAGACTGCCAGGGTCTCTGCCCTCCCACCCACATGCTTCCCCTGCAGCCCAGAGTCTCGCCCGTGCCGCAGGTTTGCCTGGTGAATGAGTACTTTGGGATCAGTGGTTGGAAGTATTGGCAACATGCATATGTTTCTGAGATTTTTTAAATTTTTAGGTTTTATTTTTTCTTTCAAAATTGGATTTTTTAAAATTTGTCTTGAATTCATCTGGAGTGAAAAATAATTGTTACTTAGTTGTTTTGTGAGTTCAGCTATTTATGTGGATATAATTTTCTTACATTGAATTTGTGTACTGAAAATTTTGGAAAAACATTCACTGTAGTGCGTTCAGGGTTATTATGAACTACATCAGTAGGTAAGTGTGGAGCTTGAGTTAGCATCGCTCTCTCCAGCCCAGCCCTAGCTCCTCTCGTCTGATCGCACCGGACCCTTCTCTCTGTCCTGTACTTCCTTCTGCTTCCTAAGTCCCTCTCGCGACCTGCGTCATCTCGTGCTTCCAGCCTTCGTGTTGGTAGCAACAGCTGCCTCGGCTTCCTCTTTTCTTGGTGCCTTTAAAATCAAGGATCCAGACCCTTTATGTTTTAAAGGTGTATTGCCATGGCTACAGAAAAGAGAGATGGGACAGGGAAAACTTGAGGGTGTCCTCAAAGGAGTGGTTCCTGCCCTGGCCAGTTTGGCTCAGCGGTTAGAGCGTCGGCCTGCGGTCCAGAGAGACCCGGGTTCGGTTCCCACTAAGGGCACGTACCTCGGTGCAGTTTGTCCCCGGCCCTGGTTGGTCATGCGGGTGGCAGCCACTTGATGTGTCCCTTTCACGTTGATGTTTCTCTCTCTTCCTCTCTCTCTCTCTCTATTTGAACAAAAAATGGGGGAAAAAATGTCCTTGGGTGAGGATAAAAAAAAGAGAGAGTGGTTCCTGACCCTTCAGAGACAGAGGAGGAAGCTCCATCAGGCATCTGCCTACTTATCCTTCAGCATTAAAGCGCCCCCACCCCCTTCTTTCTTTCCTTCAGACTCCACTGGGTCACCCTGGACAAGAATAGGGCCAGGTGAGGGGCTTGGGATAGATTCATGAATGCCCTGCGGCTTCCAGTAGGACAGCTGATTTACAGGGCCGGGTAACTCCGTCTAAACTTGCCATCCCAGCCTTCCATGTGCATTGACAGTGTCCTGCTGCCCTGTGTTCCTAGAACCCGGGCCAGGAATTCTGAGCTGTTGCGGCTGGGAATTCGGAGCCAGCACTGTTGAGCAGACTTCCAGAACTTCCCTCTTCTGTGCTGTCTTGTTAGATATGGCTTACTGGGAGAGTTGTTGTCCCTGGAGAACCACCAGGAAATGCGAGAAACAAGGAGTGTGAGTATCATAAGATGTTGTCTAGGTCTTTCTGTTAGCCGAGTAGTCTGAGTACGTATGTCTTCATTCAGCAGAGGGTATTGGACATCTGCTGTAGGCCGTGCTGAAAAGTTCTAGAGATCACTGAGATTTTATCTCTGCTCCTGGGGAGCTTAACTTTACCATTGGGAAATGAGGCAGATACAGCTGCCCATTACAGAAGGTGTACAGTAGTAAGTTCTGTGTAGGGCGGTGCCTTGGGTTTTGTAGGAACAAAGAAAATGGTCATTAAACTAGCCTGCCAGGTCAAGGAAGGCTTCCCAAAAGGTCTTGTGGTTCCTGGCATATAGTCGTATAGCCAGGGGTCAGTCAGTAGTCGAAGGAGTCATGAATTGAGTTGTTGACTGGAGGGCGGGGGGGCAGGTTGGAGGAGGGTAGCTAAAGTATCCAGTATGAGTGTTAGAAAGGTCACTCTGGCCCAGAGTCAAAGCACGGGAGCCAGTTAGAAGGCCACAGTGCCGTCCAGTGAGAAGTGAGGAGAGGAGAGGAGAGGAGAGGAGAGGAGAGGAGAGGAGAGGAGAGGAGAGGAGAGGAGAGGAGAGGAGAGGAGAGGAGAGGAGAGGAGAGGAGAGGAGGAGGAGAGAGGGAGAAGGGAGGGGAGGAGAGGAGGAGAGGAGGAGAGGAGGAGGAGGGAGGGAGGAGGGAGAGGACCTGGTGACTGACTGGCTCACGTGGGGACAACATGAAGGAGAGGAGGGGTTCTGTTCTTTGTGCACAGCCTTCCAGCATGTCTTCCTGCCTCCGCTGTCTGTCTGGGTTCTAGTAGAGTTCAAGGGCTTCTCATCTGTGTTCTGTGTTCCCTTTATGTTATGGCTTCCTCAGTCCTGCTATGTTCATTTCCGTTCCTGCATCCATGTTCCATCTTCTGAAATGTGTTCATGTTTCATCCAGACTTTTATTAAAGATGGCTTCTCTCAGCCCCAGTGCTCCCCTCCCCGTGCACAAAGGGTAAGGAATTGTGTTTTTCTTTTTAAAAAGCATAAACTTACAGGCTGGAGATTAAGTATCTGTTCATATACTGATTTTTTTTTTTTTTTTAATCCTCGCCTGGGGACATTTTTGCATTTATCCTAAGATAGGGCGAGAGGAAGAGAGAAAGAGAAACATCAATGTGAAAGGGACACATCAAGTGGTTGCCACCCACATAACCCCAACCGGGGCCCAGGACGAACTGCAACCGAGGTACGTGCCCTTAGCGGGAACCATACCCCGAGACTCTGGTCTGCGGCCTGACGCTCTAACCACTGAGCCAAACCGGCCAGGGAATATACTGAACATTGAGACTCCAGCCTTCTTTCCCCTATTCCTCTGCTCGGAACACTAGTAGCCAGGCACCTTATTCTCCCAGAGGGCAATTCAAAGATTCTTCCCTGGTGAGTCTGACCTGCCCAAGAGCAAAGACCTGAAGACCTTGACTTTGGGAAGTGGCCTCATCCAGGTCATCTCAGGTGATAAGCACATGCACAGAGTTCCATCCGCTCTGTGGTGTTGACAGCTAGGGGCTGTCAGGCCCTGGAAGAAGCTGATCTCACTGTGAAAACTAGAAATGGAAAGAAACAGTGTATGGCAACTTGAAGGAAGCAAACAGCAGAGAGATGAGAACTTCAAAAATACTATCATTGATAGCCTTGAAACAAGAGAGAATGCTACTCTTAAAAAGAAAGAACATTCTTAGAACAAAAGGAATATACATTTAAATACATAGGAGTAGAACAGGAAGATCGGAAGGGAGGAGAGTTGAAGAAGCCTCCCAGAAAGGAGAGCAGAAGGACAGATGGAAGGTGGGAAAGAAGACTGAAGGGTCAGTTCAAGAAGTCTGACCTTGGAATAGTAGGAGTGGCAGAAAGAGAGGACAGGAAAGGGTCAACAAAATGATTCAAGAAAATTGTTCAGAACTGAAAGACATGAATTTCCAGGTTGAAAGGGCCCACTAAATGCCCAGCACCATGATTGAAAATAGACCCACACCAAGGCTCATTGCTGTCGAACGTCGAGCATGTGGTCAGACGCCCCAGGATCAGTCTCTCATGAATTTACAGACCTACCCTCTCATTCAACCGACTTATTCTGTGATGTATACCTTTTCCATCTTCTGCTGTCATTTTATTGGGTATCGGGAGGGAGAGAAGTGAGACATGTGTCATCAGTCTGGCATGTTGAACCAGAGGCCCGACATACCTTGAAAATCTACTGAAATGTCAGTTGCTATTGATGCAGATTCAATACCCTCTCTCATCTGTCCTGCCACATGTTAGGTTAATAACTCTCTTTCCCATCCCCATCTGTGTATCTTTTCCTCCTTAGTCCAGTCCGAATCTGGTTGTGCCAACATAGTGTCTGCAGCCCCTTGTCAGGCAGAGCCCCAGCAATATGAAGTGCAGTTTGGACGACTGCGGAATTTTCTCACCGGTAAGTACACAGCACTAGGAGCCTTTTCTTATTAAGAAAGAGAAATGCAGATTTCCCCCAGAACCTGTTACATTCCAGGTGTGGTGTTAGGTACTAGAGAGTCAAAGGTAGTTTAACACAGTACTTGCCTCAAACTTCTGGTCTGTTGGGATTTCTGAGAGTTAGAAGACAAAGTTAAAATTTGCGAGGGCTGGGGCTCGGGATATTTCGTGCACCATTTTATCCGTGGCCTTCACAGTGACTGTGACCTGTGTCGAATAAGTGAAGCGAAATCAGCCATGTAGAGAAACACGTTTAGATGCAGCGTGTTTGAAATGTACATTGATATCACTGATTATATAGTCCATGTCAAAATGGTCCTTCTACTGATTTCCAAAAGTGAAAAACAATAGTTTCATGAATCAGTAAGACAAAACATTAGAAACTGTAGTTTAGATCTGTTTGTGGGCGGTGGAACGGCCACTTAATCACAGAATCACTAGAGCGCTGTGTGGCTGTTTAAATTATTCGCTTAAGAAAGTGGGGTCACTTAGCTTCTCTGGGGCCTTCCTCTTATGTGCAGTGAAGAAGGCATTTCAGTGGGGAAACCAATTTCATCTAGTCCTAAGATGACTGGTTAGCATTTTAATCTTGGAAAGATGATTGCAATAAGAGAGAACATGTTGATTCTGGCTATTTCGTTGAGTACTTTCTTTATATGAAACAACTTGAGGTATAAGAAATACAAAACATTCTGTGCCCTCAAAGGATTGAAGGTAATTACCATGTGTTGGTTAGTGGGAAATTATAATAAAAACACTTTGAAGTTGTTTTATTTTTCTTTCCTTGTTTGAATAATCCTAGGATTAATAATTTTTAATGGTAAAGATGTATATAAGGTGTAAACCAAAATAGTATATACCTCATTTTACACACACTTAGAGTTGTCCTTATTTTACTTGGCTATCATAATGGTTAGTATTTTAAAGGAAAGAATCTACTTTTCCTGTATTCTGTGGTTGGGGAAAATGGTCAAAATGTTACAGGAGATAAAAGTAACAAAATAAAACCCTAGAGAGGGTTATCTTACCAGTCTCATGGTTGTGGAGCGATGAAATTCATAAGTAGAGACTAATCTGTTAAATAGTTACGAAAATGAAAAAAAAAATCATAAAGATTAAAGGTTTAATAAAAAGTCTATTATGTTTAACTGGAAAGAAGGAAATTCCATTAAGATCCTCACATCCTATGAATGTTAAATATCTCAGAACAGTGATCAGCTGCTTTCCATCTCCACTAAGGATAAAAAAAGAAAAATTGAATTTATAAGAAGGATTTCATTCAGAGGTAAGCAAGAACTTGGAGCTAATGAGTTATTTTTAATCATTGACATTGGTTTTTAAGGCTTTAAGCAGTTTTTAAATTTTTAAATCAGTTCTTAGAGAAGTAATTTCCTTGGTTTTTATTTTTATTTTTTATCATAATGAGTTTAAAGCAATTTATTTTTAATTTTTTTCCTTTATTGAATTTTAGAGAGAGAGGAAGGGAGAGGGAGAGAGAGATTGAAACATCAATGAGAGAGAAAATCAACTGGCTGCCTCCTACATGCCCCCCACTGGGAATTGGGCCCACAACCTGGGCATGTGCCCTGATTGGGAATCAAACCAGAGACCTCTTGGTGCATGGGTCCATGCTCAACCACTGAGCCATACCAGCTGAGCTAATTTAGTTGGTTTTTAAAAAATGAGTATTATGTCTCCATGAGGGATTCTCTCACTGTTCTAGTGGTAGGGAAGCTGGCTTAGAACCAGGGAGGCGACAGAGGCCCTGCCCCTTTTAGGCTTTCTCTCTTTCATTCAGCCTGCATTCATGTTCAGCACTGACTACATACCAGGCTAGATATTACAGTGAAGTATATTGATCACTAATGCAATTTGTCTTGACGCAAAGTTTTCTGTTCATATTTATCTTTTGGGCTCTTGATGTTTTTCTTAAATATTTGCAAGAACTGTTAAAGTGGAATAGCTGTCCATCCCTTGTATTTGACGGTGCAGTGTTTTTCCTAACATCTGGCCCCTTCTTTAATATCTTAGTTTCCCCTGCCCAGAACTTTCTATTTCAGTGCATTGTAATGTGTCAGACTTTTTCTTTGCAATTTTGTGTCTTGTTTCAAAACTGAGAAAAGTTGTGTGTTATGTTCTACACAATTTAATTCTTGAATCCATTGGTCACAGATTATTTGGAAGGGGTGAATATGTGTTTTTCCTTACAGACTGCTTTTCCTGGAACACTTTTCTCTACCCTCAGGTCTCTGAAGAGCGGTCAACCAAATCAAATGTACAAGTATTTCCTGAGCAGCAGGATAAAGTATAACATAGTTATTCATCTAAATTAGAAGCTAATCCTAACATAAGAGGTCTAAAAGTAAAAGTCTTTACATCAAATTTAAATTTGAACCTAGGAGAAGTGTTTTCACAGACCAGTGTGAAATCGGCAGCTGAGTGTCGTACAGAGAGGCGTGGCATCGGAACGAAAGGAGACAGTGACTTAGATGGAGGCAGTCTGAGAAGGCCTCACTGAGTAGGAGGAGGATTTAAGTTAGCACTTGGAAAATGGGTTGGATTTCAGCAAAGTGTGCAAGAGGAGGAGGAGGAGGACTTGGGGTACACCTGGTAAGATGTGAGCAAAAGTGCAGGATGGCCAAGATGGCATTGTTTGTGCAGGAACAGTGAAGGTACTGGCTATATTGAGAATGGGCTTTCAGATTGGAGATAAAGGCAGACGCGCTGCAGTCTAAACCTTATCTTGCATGATGAAGGCAATCATTGGCATGACTGTTAGTGTGAAAACAGTTTGTAAGAGGGGTGACTAGGAAGCCAGCCTAAAGTCCCTGCAGTACTTGAGAAGTGAGGTGAATAAGGACCAGAATGACAGTGTTGTGGAAAGCAAGGTCTTTTTTTTTTGCTACGTGCACCTAGCGGGAACTAAACCCAGGTCTCTCTGGTCCGCAGGCCAATGCTCCAACTGCTGAGCCAAACCGGCCAGGGCAAGCAAGGTCTTGATTATTTAAATTAACCAAGGTAAAATCTCCAAGACAGGAGTGAAGGAGGAAGAAGAGCTGAGAATGTGTCAGGCTCTGGTGAGAGGGGTGAAGTATATTGAACAGTAGTAAGACCACTATGAATGTACAGTGTCTGGCTCATAGGAGGCTGGCACACACTCAGTGTTAATTCTAAGGCTCAAGCCAGGTGCTGTGGTAGGTATTTCAGCGAAAAGGACAGGGATGTTGTGGTCAGTGGAGTCCAACCCTACAGAGAAGTGAAGGAGAATGAGGGCTGACAAGCTGTTTTTGTTTAGCTTCCTGTCCTTTTCACTACGAAGTTCTGCAAACTCTATGAAAAACTTCATTTTTCTCATGTTTACCAGCAGCAGAGTGGAGTGCCAAGTAGACATTTCATTACATATTCAGTGGATAGATGGGTGGAAGGAAGAAAAAGCACATTTTTCAGAGGATGTGTTACTACGTTATTAGAAAAAAATACATGCTTGAAGCAAGTACACGTTTGGTAAAGTGTACTGTGTGTGCTGCGACTGCAAGGGAACAGAGTCAGAGTGAGAGTTAAGACTCGTGAGTTTCACCTTGTTCACAGATGCAATATGTTGATTGAAGTGTATTGTATGCCTAACATGCTGTTCTCTTCAGACAAGAGAGAAAATTAGGCAGTTTTAAAACTATGAGCTGAAACAACAGTGAATTTCAGGAACTTGTAAAGCAGTGCATCCCTGTTACTTGATGGCTAGGTTTTTTCCCTAAATGTACCAAGTTAAAATGCCTCTCATTTTAAAACTAAGATTTTAAAAAATTGGAAACAACCCTTCATCCCAATGGAATATATAGGAAGTCTAATTGGTAAGGGTGGTTGGAATATATAGGAAGTCTAATTGGTAAGGGTGGTTGGAATATATAGGAAGTCTAATTGGTAAGGGTGGAATCTTTTTTTTTCTTTTCGTTTTTTACTAGTATTTTGGGAAAGAAATTTTTCAGAGATCTTCTAAAGAATTACAATAATTTAAAGAAATATCAGCCTGGCTGGAGTGGCTCAGTGGTTGAGCATCATCCCATGCACCAAGAGGTCACCAGTTTGATTTTTAATCAGGGCACATGCCCGGGTTGTGGGCTCGATCTCCAGTATGGGGTATGCAAGCGGCAGCCATTTGATGTTTCTCTCTCATGAATGTTTCTCTGTCTCTCCCCTCTGCCTTCATCTCTAACATTTCACTAAAAATATATTTTTTAAAAAAGAAAAAGAAAAGAAATATCAAAATCTGTGTTAGTCAGTGTTCTCCAGAGAAATAGAATCAACAGGATGTATATGTAGAGAAATGTAGTTTAAGGAATTGGCTCGTGCAATTGTGCAGGCTAGCAGGTCCAAAATCTGCAGGGCTGGCCAGCAGGCTGGAGGTCCAGGCAATGGGTGGGAGGGGGCAGCAGAATCCCCTGTTCTCTTAAGGCCTTCAACTGAGTGGATGAGCCCCAGTGACATTATGATGGAGGGTAATCTGATTTACTCAAAGACTGCTGATTTTGATGTTAATCTTATCTAAAAAATAATAATAAGACACTTTCACAGAGACATCTAGAACAATGTTTGACCAAGTATCTGGGCACTGTGGCCCGGCCAAGTTGACATAAAATTAACCATTACAAGGCCCACCCCCTGTCAGCTTGGCACCCACATCCATCTCCTTAAACCACACTTAATCTTCAAGTGAAGACGATTAACAAGGTTATAATTTCACCTAATATAATACAACTCTCCAGAGCACAACTGAAAATGCACTAAGTAAAGTCCTTGGGTGATGCTTACTCTTTTTTTTTTGTCCTCACTTGAGGACATTTCTCCACTTTTTGTTCAGATAGAGCGGGGGTGGGGAGGGAGAAACATCGATATGTAAGGGATACATCAAGTGGTTGCCACCCGCACAACCCAATCAGGACTGGGGACAAACTGCAACTGAGGTACGTGCCCTCAGCGGGAACTGAACCCAGGTCTCTCTGGACCGCAGGCCAACACTCTAACCGCTGAGCCAAACCAGCCAGGGCCTTACTTTTCTTTTGATCTCCCCTTACTTAAATACTGTGGTGTAAAGTTAACAATATTTGAATGCTATAACATAAAGTCAGTATGACTTATGTTACATGATAAGGGGTAAGAGGGAGGAAAAACAAAGATATTTGCATTTAACCACTTTCTTCCACTATCCATTCTGGATCTCTGCGTCAGCAAGCACCTCAGCTGGTCCTGGTTTTATCTGGTAGGTGACCCAGCCTTCTTTCCTGAAAGGGCTGGACCACAACTAGTCCTGCCTGGACTGAGCTGTAGTTTCCATTGACCTTAACCACGGGGCACGTTAATGCTAAGAAACACCCTACAGCCATCCTGTGTTCCAGACATACTCTTCCTTGCCTCTGTTGTGGAACTAGCAGTCCAATTTTCCCGTGGCAATCAGGATCAGTCACCCCAGCCAGCACAGTAGCCCCCTTCTTTACCTGTTGATTCAGATGCATAAGGAGCCCAAAGTGGCCGGGTGACAGTCCTAACTTTCAGTTCAGAGGAATCATAATTTAAGTTCATCTTCTAAATATGTACTTAAGTAGGGACACTCCTATTCTAAAATGCATGTTATGCAATTCACCTGTGATAAAGTGAAATGGGGTATGAAGCAGAGATAGCATGCTGGTATGTTTGTCATCTAATTAGGAAGGCAGGGTTCCTAATGCAGTGTACCTGACTCTTGAGCCATGCCTTGTTAATTTATTTAAGTATGTGCAAACATTACACTAGATATAAAAACTTATGCTTACTATATTTCTGTATGAAACCTAAACTTTCATAAATAAACTATAAGCAAAAACCACAAAAGCAATAATGTGCAAGTTGACAGTGAGTGAGTGTGATGATAGACTTGCCAGAACTGGTTTGCCCTCCATGTGCATGGGGATGGTGCCGATGGCTGGGACCCAGGCCTCGGCTTCCCTGAGGCGCTGTGCCCTGCAACGGCCCTGCTGCGTGTCACGTACTGAGGTGTCAGATAAACCTGTGCTCTTCCCATTAGCCCATGGCTATGAAAGCTGTATACTTTTTGAACATTCTTTGTTACATAGTTTCATGGTGTTAAAGTCTCAAATTGGTACATGGTTGAGGCTTAACGATGACATGAAAATGTCTGATTTGTAACTGATCACTGCAAAACAGAAGTTTTAACCAACAAAATCAAAATGAGTCACTGACAGATATGGGACAATATGAATGAAAGTTGTCATCTTAGCGTTAGGACATGCCAGCCTGGGTAGCCAGACATTAAAATAAGTACTTTCCTAGGTGATGGATGCCAAAAGTAACCACAAAACGAAATAGAGCACTAAAATCATATGTCAGTACTTACTGCTAAATGGGCGTCCAGATAATTCTGATTATATTTGCAGTCATTGTTTTTTTACTATTATCAAGTTATAAAGTTTCTGAGAAGAACTCATAGTCTCCCAAGAATACATCTGCAGACCTTCAGAATTTGATGTACCCAACTTGAGAAACACTAATGTATTGGGGAAAATATTGAACCTTGAAGGTCTGGGTTGAAGCTAAGGAATTGTGAGAACTTCAGAAAGGCAGTTACTCTCTCTGGGTATCAAACTGCTGATCTGTGGCCAACTTCACCACCAAGTTCACTGGACCTCAGAGCCCCTTCTTCAGTTAAAGGGCTTGGACTTTGAATTTCCAGAATTCTTTGTTGGGTTTATATTTTAGTCACTAGTCTCAGAAAATAGGGTCCTGACAAGAAAGTTTTATATGACGGTGGGCTCCCAGGAGGGTCACATTATTCTTTGAGATTATGCTGATTATAAAGCCCTCACTTTTTTTCATTATAGATTCTGATTCCCAGCATAGCCATGAAGTGATGCCTCTCCTCTATCCTCTCTTTGTCTACCTCCATCTCAACCTGGTCCAGAACAGTCCCAAGAGCACAGCAGAAAGTTTTTATAGTCGCTTCCATGGAATGTTTCTCCAGAACGCTAGCCAGAAGGATGTCATTGAGCAGCTACAGACCACTCAAACCATGCAAGACATCCTGTCTAACTTAAAGCTTCGAGCATTCCTAGATAATAAGTACGTGGTTCGTCTCCAAGAAGACAGCTACAACTACCTTATCCGCTACCTCCAAAGTGACAACAACACCGCCCTGTGCAAAGTCCTCACCTTGCATATCCATCTTGATGTGCAGCCTGCCAAGAGAACAGATTACCAACTCTATGCCAGCGGCAGCTCCTCACGAAGTGAGGGCAACGGCTTAGAGCCCACTGACATGCCAGCCCCGATTCTGCAGAACGAGGCTGCCCTGGAGGTCTTGCAGGAGAGCATAAAGCGCGTCAAGGATGGCCCGCCCTCCCTCACCACCATCTGTTTCTATGCCTTCTATAACACAGAGCAGCTGTTGAACACTGCAGAAATCTCCCCAGACAGCAAGCTGCTCGCTGCTGGGTTTGACAACTCCTGTATAAAACTATGGAGTTTACGATCCAAGAAGCTAAAATCAGAACCCCATCAAGTAGACGTGTCTCGCATCCATTTGGCTTGTGATATTCTGGAAGAGGAGGTATGAATGTCATTTTTTCTTCCCTACATCTGCCTTTCTAATTTGCTTAGAATATTCTTTCCAGACATCACTGATCTCATGGAGAATGGACTTCTTTATCTCCTCATTCTATAGCAAAGCCAAAGCAATGCTGTGTAACCTATAGTCGTTGAACTCTGCTCATGCCTGACCTCGGAAAAGAGTAAAGCTATTTTTAACAGCATTAACTGAGCATTACTAATGCATGGTCAGAATTGACCACTACCTGTAATGTGGATAACATTGCTATGTCTAATTAAAGGCCTTTAGTTAATGTTGAGATTTACAGTAAGTGCATGAGCACGTGCATTTGTGCAAATTTGAGCAATTACAAGTAAAATTCCTGGGTCGAAATTTTAAATTGTGATAAACAGTGCACCGTTTTCCAGTCTCAGCATAAACAAGGCGCCTGGTGTCTGTGCACCCACCGCCAGCAGGTGGTGTCAGCCTTCCTGAGACAGTGCGAGTGCTCTGGCTTCCTGCGCCCCAGGCTGTTCCTAACCCTGTCCTGAAAAGTACGCACAAGTAGAGCTGACGTTTCATCTATCAGTCGATGTAGCAATCTACTTTGCTCTGTTTGGGCATGGCCGTTGAAAGAGGTGGCCGAGTGACCTGCGGTCCGGGTCACTGAGGGTCACTGGCTTAGGAAAGATGTGGGTGCAGGGAGATATAAATTGAACTTCAGAGTTAACCATCGCTGAGAGTGGCCCCACAAAAGCTGAGAGCTAGGATATTTTTGTCACATCACTGAAATTCAGGTAGCTGTGCCTCAACTTGTTTTAGATGGAAAAGTCTTTGTATAGGGTTGAAACTTTAAGGAAGTTTTTGAGTTAATTTCCAGTTGCTGATAGGATATTAAGAATATTTGGATGCACGAATTGAGCTTTTTTTTTAAATTCCTGTTTTCTTAGTCACCTTCCAGTTAGTAGTATATCCTTTGAATTTTTTCAACTGAGACAATATAATTAGTTTGTTATGATGCGTAGAGAGTTTAAATTCCAATGTGCAAACTTTGATTTCTAGAATTTATAGTACCCTCTAAAATATTTTGTTGCACATGTATTGAATTAACGAATTTCTCTTTTCCTTAGAGGCAGTTCTAGCCTCTTGGAGGGTCTTCACATACAACTGAGGGAAACTGCCCTAATTTACTGTCATTTTCTGTAAATGCAAAAAAATATATATTTCTACTGACTGATTAGCTTTGATGATACTAAGTTTGGGAATATTCTAGGCATTAAAAATTAATATAAAGGAAGAGAGCAAAGACAAAGATAGATACAAGGATGGAAAAAGCATTAGACTAAAATTAAAAATGTTAAGATTCTCCTCTGGCTCTATGATGTGTTCTGTGAAGGTTTCCAGGCCTCGATTGGCATGTGTGTGAAGACCCAGAAGTGAAGAATAACATGATGAATTCCAGAAATTGAAGGAAATTAAACATGGCTGGAGTTGGGAAGGGTGAAACCGGGAGCTACATGGTGCCGCTGTCACGGGGGGATCGGGCCAAACTGGGGTAGTGACCGTGGAGAGAAACGCGGTGGGTGGATCACACACGAGCTCCGTCACTGGGCTAGTGGGGCTGCAGGGAGGAGGAGTCTCGGGTGGCAGGGTGGTGGAGTGCCCCAGCTCGAAGAGAACACAGGACATCTGGGGGCAGTCAGTTGTTTCGTCTGGTCAGTTCGTCATTATCCATAGTGAAAGTAGTGAAGATTCTAGCCTCTGCTTTCCTTGAAAACAAATTTCATTTAAACTTGAGAACTAAAGTTGAGATCCTCCTGTTCTGTTTTTGAGGGGTTTCCTATTTGGGATTTCTATACCCATTTTGTCACAGCCACTTAGGGAAGTTTTCTTTGTGGTTTCTGTCAAGAAGCATTTTGTGGGAAAGCAAGGTAAAAATTAGTTCTGGAAGTTGGTTTTTAATGTTACTTCAGTGAGAATTCAGACTTTCTTTTTTCCTTGAAGAAGTCACAATTAAAATCCTAATGCAAAGGCCACAAACTCACATATCTGGGAAGGCAAACAGGTCAGAGTGAAGGGTGAAGCCACCTGCACCAGGAGATGGTAGGAAGAAAGCAAGCGCCGTGCAGACCGAAGCCGTTCAGTCTGCTCTCATCTGTGTGAAGCAGTAACTTGCACAGATTAGTGGATAAAATATTTTAACTGTAGGCATTCAAAACAGTGATCAGACCCAGCAATTCCATTTCTAGATACATGACCAAGAGAATTGAAAATGTGTGTCCACACAAAAACTTGTACACGAATGTTTATAGAGGCATTATTTGTAACAGCCAAAAAATGAAAACAACCCAAGTGGCCATCAGCTGATTAACAGATACACAAAATGTGGTGTATCAGCCATGAAAAGAAATGAAGATACATGATAAATCATAATGCTATAAGGTGGATGGACCTTGTAAACATCATGCTAGGAAAAGAAGCCAGCCACACAGGACCACATCGTATGATTCCATTCATAGGAATATCCAGAATAGGCATGTCGGTGGAGACGGAGCAGATCAGTTCTTGTCGGCTGGGGACAGCGGAATGGGGAGTGATTGCTCATGGGTACAGGTTTATTTTCCACGCCATGAAAATGTTCTGTGCCTAGATAGTGGTGCTAGTTGCACATCTCTGTGAAGATGCTAAAAACCATTGAATTATATACTTTAAAGGAGTGAATTTAATAATATGTTAATTATATCTTGGTTTTAAAAAATTAAACTAACCAAAAGGTTTTATGTAAGCATAAAAATCTATTAATTTTGCCAAATAAAACTGGATTTACAACTCTGCCCTATAGCTTCTGTTATCTCCAGTTTGAAGATAATCCATCTAGATTAGCCTTTGAGAGTCTATTCATTGGCATAGCAGTACCTCCTCGCCCTGGGGCCAGTAGCCCCTCCTTCAGCCACTCAGTGGAGCAGGGGCCTGCACTTCTCCCCTGTACACAGGTAGAGCTAGAAGCGAGTCCAGCTTTTATCCTTGTTGCTTGGAAGCTGCGTATCTTCACTATGTGAGCAACATGGCCAAACCAGATACCAAGTCAAGGACTTGCTCTTTTCAGTTTTTGTACACACCTGCCCTCATCACTGCCAGCCACCCACCCCCTTAGCCTAACAATACATCACCTGAATTTAATGTCTAGTCATTCTTGCCCCACTCTGGTCATGTTTGTGTTTGAAAAGTAAAGAATTCAGTGTTGTCGATAATATTCAGTTGTGTGATTCATATATAAAATGTCATTTAGAGCTTTGTTGACCAGTGGGATTATAATGTGAGCCATATATGTAACTTAGGTTTTTCTGGTAGCCACATTAAAAAGAGTTAAAAAGAAATGGTCAAAATTGATTTTAATAATGTTTGTTACTTAATCTAATATGGCAGATATATTATCACTTAACATGTAAGCAATATAAAACATTCATGAAAGCTGGTACATTCTCTTTGCCCTAAGTATTGGCAATATGGTGTATTTCACACCTAGAGTGCATGTACATTCACGCCAGCCCTACCCACCACTTCTGGTCTAGTTCAGGCGCCTGTTGTCTCTAATGTAGATGGCAGCCCCTTGTTTGCCTCCAGATCTTAACCCATTCCCAAACCCAGCCACAATCAATTTCTTTCTGTTCACTTGCAGCTAATTGGAGAATAGCCCAAGGCTAACTTCCAGGCCACCCCCATCCCCACCCCCACCCCAAAGTACTCCTGATCTGGGAAAGAATGGAGTGGGGAGCTGAGGCACTTGGAACACCCTGTCCAGGAGTAGACATCATAACTAGTCTGAGATTTCAGGGACCACATGATTGACAACAGGGGTCAGCAAACTACAGCGCAGGGGTGCAACAATATCTAAAGATCTGTGTATGTTCCTTTTTTTTATTCTTTTTAAATTTCTATTTAATGCATTTTTTAATCCTTACTTGAGGGTATTTTTTTCATTGATTTTCAGATAGAGTGGAAGGGAGTGAGAGATTGATGTGAGAGAGACACGCTCATTGGTTGCCTCCCATATGACCCCAACCAGGGCCGGGGATCAACTCACAACCAAGGTACATGCCCTTGATCGGAGTCAGACCTGTGACTCCATGGTCCACGAAGTGACGCTCTCACCTCTGAGCCAGGACTCACGCATCTTTTGTAATGTACACTTCACAGTTTATTATTACACAAGTCTACTTTATGTATTAAAAATTCCTCTTTGGGCCCTGGCCGGTTTGGCTCAGCGGTTAGAGCGTCGGCCTGCGGTCCTGAGAGACCCGGTTTCGGTTCCCGCTAAGGGCACGTACCTCGGTTGCAGTTTGTCCCCGGCCCTGGTCGGTTGTGCGGGTGGCAGCCACTCGATGTGTTCCTTTCACATCGATGTTTCTCTCTCTCTTTCTGTTCCTCTCTCTCCCTCCCACTCTACCTGAACAAAAAATGGAGAAATGTCCTTGGGTGAGGATAAAAAAAAAAAAATTCCTCTTTGGGTTGCATGCCCATTTCTGTGGGGGTTCAGTCTGCTGTAGGAGTTTTGGAGTGTAGTCCTGTTAGATGAGAAGGCAGAGAGACTGCAGGGCTGGCATGTGTGAGTTAGCTGCTTGTTCGGGGTTCCATCTTGTCTGTGCTGAGGACTGAGTGGAGCTACAGAAGAAAACGAGGCTATTAATTTAAGTTGTGGTCCTGGCAAAAAGCAGACAGTGACAGCCAGCGGGTACATTCTAGTATTCCCATTTCTTCTCTATAGACTCAACCAGGCACCTGTCCCCAGGCTCAGGACAGCAGTCTGACATCAAGGCCTTGGAAAGTGCCAGCTTGCCCCCGGTGCACCCTGCCCATCTCCGAGCCATCTAGGTCCCCACTAAGGGGCAGTGCTGCTCCCATAACCCCCTGCTTCCCAACGAAAACCGCTCAAGCCTCCACCGCTACCCTATAATCCTATCTGTCCAGGGTCATTCTTTGCTCCCACAGTTTTTACACAAACTTTCTGGTGCAGAGCAGTAAGTCATTCTTGAAATTTTACTCTTTGGAAAGGAACACACTAATATTCTTGGTAACACTCAGTAGAACCTTCAGCTCCCAAATGCTAATATATTTTTAATGTTGAGTGTCTGAAATAGTCATTTTGAATATTCATGGACATCCATGTTTATTTTCTCTTAAAGTTCTCTCAAATATGTCCACATTGGAGGCATTTGTTTTACTTTAATTTAATGGTTTTCAAATAGAAGTTAAAAGGATGCCCCTTTCTGCCCTGGCCGGTTTGGCTCAGTGGTTAGAGCGTCGGCCTGCGGTCCGGAGAGACCCGGGTTCGGTTCCCGCTAAGGGCACGTACTTCGGTTGCAGTTTGTCCCCGGCCCTGGTTTGTCGTGCAGGTGGCAGCCACTCGATGTGTCCCTTCACGTCGATGTTTCTCTCTCTCTCTCCCTTCTTCTCTCTCCCTCCCACTCTGTGCAGAAAATGGAAAAATATCCTCGGGTGAGGATAAAAAAAAAAAAAAAAGGATGCCCCTTTCCTATACAAAAGCCTACAGCTCACACAGATATGTATTTCTCTGCCAACAAAGGCAATTGGTTTAAGAATCTTCCTCCTACTCCTCATTCTTCTAGTGTTTAAGGAAAACTCGTTTTAATGTGTGAATTCCAGGGTAGAGACGGCTGTCGTGTTAAGGAGCTTGCCTGTAAGAGGGTGAAGGGAAAGTGGATTTTGAACAGTGTACTTGTGGGGAATAGGGCGAGGAAGGGGACTTTCTCCCCCAGTACCACGCGCACATAGCTGTCTTCTCATCTGTCCGCACACACAGGAATTATTGCCAAGAATCACAGAAGTCACTTGGCTTTAAAGCAGTTCTGAATCCAGACCTCGTTTTGTTACTTTGGGAAAATGTTTGAGACCATCGAGAAAGTCTCAGTTTTAAAACTACATCTTTATTTCTTTTTGGACACCACCAGCTTATGCCTGATCATGGGGCTGTGAATGTAATTTATTGACAACTGCACCTTTCTGGCTTACTGCTCTGGTATGTCCAGTTTTGTTTGGCTACCTTCCTACAGTGGTTCTTGATTAACCATGAATTGAGACCACCTCTGCCCCAGGCGTGGGAGCGGTGAGGGTGTCGGGATTGATCTTCGTCCCCTGGAAACGGGCGCAGCAAACCCTGACGTGCCCTAGAGTAAAAGAATCTGAGAACTGAACATAAATTCAAAAGGAAATATTTTGAAATGGCAGGTAGTATTAACAATGAAAGTCACCATAGGCTGCCTTTAATCAGCTTTGAAATCGGTTCTCCTCACCCTCAGAGTCAGAGCCACAGTCATTACTCAATAAATAGCCTTGCGTTTCTGTGTCTTTCGAGTTGACATATTCTTGGCTGCAAAATGAATTTAAGGAAAGCAGTTCGTAAGCTGTAAGGGACTTTTTATTCAGTTACGCAGCGATGAGCTGTTCCCTGGGTCGCCCTTAAGAGCAAGATCACTGCCATTTCCTGGGTAGATGCTGTTTCCCAGGCAGTGTCTCCCCCAGCCCTGGAGATTTTGTTTTCCATGCAGACCACTAAACATGTTTCTTATATGTGTCCCCTTTGCACCCCCTGACATTCCCAGGATGATGAGGATGACGCTGCGGGCACGGAGATGAAGACCCTGCGGGGACACTGTGGACCAGTGTACAGCACGAGGTTCCTCGCAGACAGCTCAGGGTTGCTCTCTTGTTCCGAAGACATGTCCATTAGGTACTGGGACCTCGGGAGTTTCACCAACACTGTGTTGTATCAAGGACATGCCTACCCTGTGTGGGACCTGGACATTAGCCCATATAGCCTGTACTTCGCCAGCGGGTCCCATGACCGCACCGCAAGGCTGTGGTCATTTGATCGGACGTACCCACTGAGAATATATGCTGGACACCTGGCAGATGTGGACTGTGTCAAATTCCACCCGAATTCAAACTACTTAGCCACAGGCTCCACCGACAAGACTGTCCGGCTGTGGAGCGCGCAGCAGGGCAGCTCAGTGAGGCTCTTCACCGGCCACCGGGGCCCTGTGCTCTCCCTCGCCTTTTCCCCCAACGGTAAGTACTTGGCGTCAGCGGGCGAGGACCAGCGGTTGAAGCTATGGGACTTGGCCTCTGGCACCCTTTACAAAGAACTGAGAGGCCACACAGACAACATCACCAGCCTCACCTTCAGCCCAGACAGCAGCCTGATCGCCTCTGCGTCCATGGACAACTCCGTGCGCGTCTGGGACATCAGGAACAGCTACTGCAGCGCCGCGGCCGACGGCTCCTCGGGCGAGCTCGTGGGCATGTACACCGGGCAGATGAGCAACGTCCTGAGTGTGCAGTTCATGGCCTGCAACCTCCTCCTCGTGACTGGAATCACACAGGAAAATCAGGAACATTGATTTTTACCTTGGCTGTAACAGACTGGGGCAGTGGAGTGGAGGGCTCCAGGTTGCAAGTCTTACGATTCAATCACTGACTGACTGTGAAAGACTCCCCGCTTCTCCCCTCGTCCTGTGCGGACATCTTGAGCACATCACCCCTTCACTCAGCCCCCAAGTGTCGAGGACGGTGGGGGAGGACAGGTGGTGATTAGAGGACCTGATATCAAGAAGTGAGATGCTCTGGAGGTCAGGTGGCCAGTTCTTACAAAGATGCCACTGTGTCCTCACGCGAGCGAGCACCTTCGTGTCTGTCTCATTTTCCCTTTTGTGAAACCATGATGCTGCTGACTTGGCCGGTGCTGCACCGGCCCGAGGATGGCCGCAGAGGGCTCGGGAGGAGGGGCCCCGCAGGGCCGCGTGTCATCAGTTGCTGGGCAGAAGGGCATCTTTCCTGGTGTAGGAAAGCAGGGGTAGGGATGAGGAAAGGGGGCAAGAATCATCCTGGAAAAGGTCTTTTTCTTTCCTGTGATTGCAGAGAACAGGATTTTTTATTATTATTATAATTATAGTAATTATTGTTATTATTGAGAAGGGGAAACCTAGCACTGGCAGAGGGGCCTTCTCTGCTCTCATCTTTCAGGTTTGACTCCTGGCACTGGCTGTGATACTTGGAATTTTGAGGTTCAGGGAATTCAGAGAATTTGGTAGCACAGTGTATTGTGAGGAAGGGAAAATTTCTGGGTGACAGGTTGGTCACTCCGCTGACATGTTTCTAGAAGCGGGTGGACATGACTGAGGAAGTCGTGGGCTCTTGCAGTGATGGTGGAAAGGAGACTCGTGGCTGCACTTCTGTGAGCAGGCCATCCCGGAAAGGACAGTGTCACATGAAATGAAAACGATTTGAGGCGATAAGTCAAAAGGTAGAATTAGAACATGTTGGATTTCCAAATGAGCATTTATTCCGAGGTGTGGCTTTTTCGGTCTTTTTCTCCTTGAGATCACCCACTCCCACCTCCTGCATTGCAATAGCAGTTTAATGAACACTTTGTGAAACAAATTGTGAGTACGTATGCACGCATATAAAAACTATGGGGATAAGGCAAGTTCTAATTTGTGGAAAAGGATTAAATATTTCTGTCTTCTGAAAAGAGTTATTTTGTATTTTGTTTTCTATTAAAATGTATTTAGTTTCCAAAAAAAGTGTTGGCATCTCATTTAAGCTGTGAGGAGAGGTGGGTGTGTGGCTTGTCCTGCGCTGACATGCAGCGCCCCTCTCTCCAGGGTAGTAGCCCGTTCTGTAGGCCAGACTAGCCCCAAAGGAGGTGCATTCTATCTGCTTTTGTATTCTGTTCAGCTTACCTTGAATCATGATTCCCTAGGCATTCACGTGGATTATTGATAGCATTTAATACTGTTTATACAGCCAAGATTACCAGTTGCTGACCAGAGACAACATATATTTTGCATCTAGAGTTATTTGGTAAGATTCTACTTCTGGTTTTCTTTAAAGACCCCATTATGAAATTGCTGAGGGGCCTAAGAACTTGTTATTTAATTAACTCAAACTATTTATTGAACAATTATAGATAATGGACTCATTCAAAGATTTAAATGATGCCAGAATTTTTAAAATGTACTTTGATACATAATTCTCTGGCAAGGACACCAGAATTATCAGGAAATTAAATAGAAGACTCTAGAATTCTGTGCCAAAAACTTTTTTACTTGAGCCTAAGGTGCTAAATAATAGAAAATTTGTCTTATAGATAAAAATATATATTTGAGACATTGTAAGAAGGATCCTTTGGCAACTTAGCCAGACAGCATCACCTTCCACATGGAAAAGCCTAGAATTCAAATGTGTTCTTATCTCTAATAAGTGAATTCTTAAGTTAGATTGTACGGTATGTTGCTAAAAATGATGAAATTCATAAATTGGACTGAGTCATTCTCAGAAGTGGAAATATTGCTGATTTGGAAGGTTTTGTGTTTGACTTTAATGCAGAATCTCTTTGATTAAACACAGAAATGTATTAGGTTGGTCAGTCTCCACATTGTCGATCATGTATATACTTTGTGATTGCAGTTGAAGCTCTTAATGATCTGCGTGCTTGGCCTTTATTTTCTTTTGTGAGCTAATTTTAATGTGGGATAATTGAACTTTATAGAATGCCCCCCTCAACTTCTCCAAACTCTTAGAACTATTGTAAGGGGTGTGTATGTGTGTTTCTGTCCACAAGGGTGCGCAAAGAACATGGCTACCCTCTTCAGGTTGCTCTCTTGCATTGTTTAATTTCATCTTCAGAGCAATTCCATGATGTGGGCAGGACTGGTGATATTACCATTTTGTATCTGAAATACCTAAACCCTGGAAAAGCTATATAATTTATTTTTTTGGAATAAAGAAACTTTAGAATATTCAGTTATTTTGAACCACAATAATAAATCTCTGTGATGTATATAAGGTGGGGTGGGAGGGGGACAGCTGAAATTTTTTAGGCTGACAGGCTCAGAAAATCTGACTGTAATTTTAATTTAGCAGTAGACTGGCCAAAACAAAGAAAGAAAATTATGATAAAGGAAAGTAATGGATAGAGATGAAACAGGAAACAATTTTGAGTTTTTAAATTCAAGGTCCAGCTTCTAAGGATGTGATTACTAGCTTTTTATTTGTTTTATTCGTGTATTAAAAATGTCTTGGTTGTATAAAAAATATTTGAGTATGTAGGCTTCTCATTTTGCTGTTGCCCAGATTGGTATTTAAGTATATGGATTAAAAACTTAGTCTGTACTTCAACTTTGCTTTCAGTTGCATGTTTTAGAAAAGTGTCCATTAAATCTATGCCCAGTCCACACCAAAAATTCATATTATTGACACCTACATAGAAGGCAGATGACTCTGAAACTGCTTTGTGGTAAACAAAATCTTCATTTATAGAATTTAAGAAACACAAGTGTTCCTGGTCAATTTGACCTATTAAAGGACAACTTGGATACTTTTGTATGATTGTCTAAAATGCCTAAAAAGAAGTATTTTTACATTAAATATGTGAGTGTCTAGTATGACTCTCATACATTGTGTTAGTAGGTGTAATACAGTGGTAAGTCCGGCGGTGTGGCTCAGTGGTTGAGCATCAACCCAAGAGGTCACTGGTTCGATTTCCGGCCAGGACACATGCCCAGGTTATGGGCCCGATCCCCAGTGGGGGCCATACAGGAGGCGGCCAGTTGATGTTCCCTCTCATGGATGTTTCTATCTCTCTCTCCCTCTCACTTCCTCTTTCTCTAAAATCAGTAAAGGGAAAAAAATAAAAAAAATAAAAATACAGTGATAAGCAAAACTGAAAGAGTCCATGGATTGAGTTTATAATTTAGAGAGGGAGGCAAATATTAATACCATGAATATATAATTTCGAACAATAGTGTCATACTGGATGCTATGGAAGAATATACCCAGGGGTCTTATTTATTTATTTTGTATATTGATTTTAGAGACAGAGAGGAAGGGAGAGAGAAACATCGATGTGTTGTTGTGCTCATTTATGCATTCATTGGTTGATCCTTGTATGTGCCCTGACCAGGGATCAAATCCACAAGCTTGGCATATTGGGACAACACTCAAACCAACTGAGCTACCCAGTCTGGGTCCCTAGGGATCTAATTTAGAGTCAGCATTCGAAGAGGATTTCCTTGAAGAAATAATAATTAAGCTGAGACCTGGAGTTAGCCAGGCAGAGTTCGGGAAAGAATGGTCCAGACCCCCACAGGGAAGAACCTGTACACTTAGAGAAGTCCAGTGGGACTTCTGAGCAGTGTAAGAACAGAACAGCATGACAGGGGTTTGGGTAATTGGCAGGACTCTGGACGCTGTCCAGAGTTTGACTTTTATCCTAGGTCAGAGAAGTCATTGAAGGGTTTAGAACAGGGAAGTGATCCCCACCTTGATATCCTGGGCAAAAGGACCTAGACACCACACTTACAACTGGAATTCCATTTCAGCGTTAGGATAACTAAGCAAAATGTACTGAACCCAGTCTGTGCCAACGACAGCGGGGCACAGCTGAATGATGGAAGCCAGTTGCCATATGGTGAGCTGCTTTATAGAGTGGCCCCTGGGGCCGTGAACTGAAAGTGACCTCCAGCCAACAGCCTGTGAGGACCTGAGGCCGGCCAACAACCGCCCGAATGAGCCTGGCTGCAGATCCTGCCCCCGTCAGGCCTTCAGATAAGACTGCAGCCCCGGCTGACATCTCGGTTGTAGCCTCCTGATTGACCCTGAGATACAGGCCTCCAGGAAGTCTGCCTGGATTCCCAACTCAGAAACTGGGAGACAGTAAATGTTCTTTTAAGCCATTAAAGTTTGTAGTGATTCCTTGAATAGCATAGATAATTAGTCCATCTGCCCCACTTCATAGTTTATTCTTTTAACTGCTACAGTATAGAAAATGAAATAATTACTGATTTTTTTTTTTTTTTTTTTTTTTTAATCACTGGCCGCTGTAAGGAACCTAGGAAGTGTGCGAGAGTGCGGAGACTAGTTAAGATCACTGCAGGGGAGTCATCCAGGGTAGACTGGCCACGATGGAAATGAAGAGAAGTGGACAAATCTTTGACTGTTTTAGAGGTGGGGCTGGCTGGCCTTCATATTGGGTTGGGTGGGGGAGGAAAGAGGAAGGAAATCATAGATGACCCACACGTTTCTGTGATGAACAATTCAGTGGGTAGGTTGCCGTGTATTGTGATGAAAATACTAGAGGAAGAAGAGGCTTGGAGGGGAGATCAAGAGTTCAGTATTGCTCCTTTTAAGGTTGAAGTGCTTTTGAGAGAACCAAGCGAGAGGTGTTGGGTGGGCATTTGGATGGACACTCCTGCAGCTCAGAAGAGAGGTCTGCGCTGGCATGCTAATGGGGGGGTGGTGTTCATTACAGTGATGACTCTATGCCACTAGGGACAGAAATCTGACTCCCAAGTGGTTTGAAAAATGGAGACCGTTACTGGTTCACGGAAGAAAGTCTAGAGTCAGGTGGGTTTCACGTGTGATGCACTAAGGGTCCTCCTCTGTTCTGTGCTTCTACGCTGCTCCCTCGCTTGGTGGGTTTATCACGGGCTGGCTTTGCCCATGATTGTGTGGGGACTGCTGACAGCAGTGAGGGCGACACCCTAGTTCATGTCTAGTGCGAGTGTATGAGTTCTATTCCTCACTCTCCAGAGCACGGGGGGACAGGGGGTGTCTAGAAGCTGCAGCAAACCTCTCCAGTTTGGATCAGGTCTGCCAGTCACCGCACTGTCCCTGACATGGGCGAGAGTCATTGGCATGTCATTGGAATTAGAAGCCTTGCAAATGGATGTGATTACCAAGGTTGAGAACATAGAGTGAGAGGAGATGTGACTTCTAGACTACCCCCAGAAAGGAGAAGCAGCCAACAGAGAAAAACAGGCAAGGGCACTGCCCCAGGAGCCAGGAGGAGAACGCCCTTCCAAGAGGGCTGGTCAGCGGTGCTGATGTACCGAGAACCCGAGCAAGAGGGCGCTAGAGAACAGCACGGAACGAGGGGAGGTGGCCCCAGGCTGAGCACCGCCCTTCTGCGTGAGCGGTGGATTGGGAAATGCACTGATGGGACTGAAAAGTGGAAAGTAAACAAACCGGGACATTTCATTTATGACAGGCGACACATGGCAATGGAAGGACAGACTTTTTACAACAGTGCTAAGACAACAGGCTAGCCAGGGGAGAAGAGTAAAATCGGACCCCTACCTCACTCTACACAAAAATAAATTTCAGGTAAGGCGAGTCCTCATTGTGGAAGGCAGACGTAGAAACCATTTAAAAGAAGATCCTCATGCCCTGGCCGGTTTGGCTCAGTGGCAGAGCCTCGGCCGCGGACCAATGAGTCCTGGGTTCGATTCCAACCAAGGGCAAATACCTAGGTTGTGGTTCGTCCCTGGCCCTGGTCAAGGTCATGCGGGAAGCAACCAGTTGATGTGTCCCTCTCACGGTGATGTTTTTCTCTCTCTCCCTTTCTCTCCCTCTCTCTCTACCTGAAGATAGAAAAATATCCTCGGGTGAGGATAAAATATATATATATATATATATATATATATATATATATATATCCTCGTGACCTTGGATAGGAAGAAATTTCCCACAAAACAAAAAGCCCTGGCCAAAAGGGAGATTCGATTCAAAAGCATCCATTCATCAACAGGGCCACGGAAGAAAGTGACGGCAGGCTGTGAATGTGAGAAGACACTGGTGGCACATGAGTGATGCTGGTGACGTTGTGTGCAGAGCAGCGCTGTGCACTCGGGCTGTGCGGCCGTGTCCCCTGGTCTGTGCTGTCCTGTGGCCAGTGCCGTGGGGAGGGGCTGCTCTGTAGTTCTCCGCTGTCGGTAAGGTAGCTGCCAGCCAGATGTAGCTACTGAGCCTTTGCAATTGGATAATGTAACTGGAACTGAATTTTTAAAATTTTGTTCACTTAAGTTTAAATAACTGCATGAGACTAGTGGCTAGCAGACTGCAGACTTCTAAAATAGACGAAGAACCACAAATCAGTGAGTCGATGGGGGGGAAAGGGCAAAAGTATTAAAAGGAAACATTTCACAAAAATCCAAATGGCCAACAAACAAATGAAAAATGACTCACCCTGGTATTACTTGGGGAAATGCAAACTTAAAACAATGGGACACCCTTACACCCAGGTCAGACCAACAACAAAGTCAAGTGTTGCTGCATCAGGACCCTCCTCCACGGGTGAGAATGTAAACCTGGGGCCTGTACTGAGAGGCACTGCTGTGCTACACAGCAGAGAGAAAGAAACATGCATATTACCAGCAACCCCACCCCAGGGTCCAGAAACTCATGGGTACAGATACAAAACTCCATGGCAACAATGTCCATAATTTCCCGAAGCTGGAAACAAAGAAACGTGCGTGAAAGGATACATACATTATTAAATAGTCACATGGTGGTAAACCCTGAAAGAAAAATGGACAGATTAGAGCTACAAGCAATGGCATGGATGTACCTTGTGTTTTGTTGAGAATTTTTTTGTTTACTTGAGCCAAACTGACAACATATGCTGGGAGAGCGAGATCTCAAATGCTCCAAGGAATAACAGTGTTGCCCTCGTTGGTTTGGCTCAGCGGTTACAGCATAGAGTCGCAGGTTCAATTCCCAGTCAAGGGCACGTACCTGGGTTGCAGGTTCGATCCCCGGCCCCTGTAGGAGTTTTTCAGGAGGCAACCAATCACTGTGTCTTTCTCACATTGATGTTTCTCATTCACTGTCCCTCCCTCCCTTCCACTCTACCTGAAAGTCGATGGAAAAATATCCTCGGGTGAGGATTAACAATAACAACAAAAAGAGTTATAGTTTTGCAGCAGCTTCTATGCTTTTTAAATAAGGAGGGGCTTTCAGTGTTTTTTGTTTTGTTTTGTTTTGTGGTATGTGCCCCTAATGGGAACCGAACCTGGGGCTCTCTGGTCCGCAGGCCAACGCTCAACCACTGAGCCAAACTGGCCAGGGCATTCAGTGTTGAGTGAAGAGAAAGAAACACAAATTATTCTTACAGAATGATTCCATTTAGAATTCAAATCAAACCCAACTAACTATATATTTTAGTATGTGTCCAAAGATGACAAAATGGGGTAAAGGAGGCTCCTGATGGGGAAGGGATGCTGGGGTGCCTGGGCTGGTACCTGTTTGCCCTCCAGAGCTGCTCGTTTATCGTACAAAGAAGTCTTCTA